ATTTTAGTGCCGACTGCCAGAGACTCTATGAATTAAAATTATGATATATGATTTCTTTGATTTTGAGTTATAGGACTCAGGTTTTGAGACAAAGTAGATAGGCCAGAAATCTAATGTGTCGCTCAGGGGTGTTCTTTACCACTGGGCAGCAGATTTGTTCGTGTTGCCTAGGGCAGTACAAAACCTAAATACACAATTGGTGTCACAAACGTTTACCTATCCCAGAGAGACAGAAACTGAATATTAAGTCCATGAATGGGATACTTTGTACACTCACGTAACCACTGGGTCCAGAGAGAAGAACTTGTTTTATGTTTGCCACGCTTAATTTATTTTTATATTGGAGGTACTGTCATACATCGATCGACTAAACAATCAGTATCGCTGAAGTAATTGATTGTTAAAACATCCTGACAGAACAGTCTCTGACTCAAGAAAACTAGCTGAGGAGCATCTTCACAGCAACAACATCATCTCAGGATACATGGCAAATATTGACATTTTTTTACTATATAAGTTAAATAGGAGATATGTGACTTACAATGTGACACGCCTGTTTTGTTTGATTTCCCTAAAGAGAAAAAAACAGTACATATTGCATATTGCTTATTGATTCACCAGAATGATATATATATATATATATAAGTTATAAAGACTTCTATAAGAATTTGTCATACTCTATTTTCAGAAATGTGCAACTTAGTAATGCACACAACTTTCAACCACAATGACCATATATAGACCGATTTGGTTGGTCCCTGCTGCACACAAATTGTCACATAATGCCTCCTCCCTGCCTTAGAATTAGCTTCAATAATGATAGTAAAATGACAATCCTCAGATTATTGTAAAATTCAGTTTTCACCTACTGGCCTGCCAGTGACTTTCTTTTTCTCCACTGCTGAATGAAGTATTCTCATTTTACAGCCCAGCATATATGATTTCCCTGCTGTCAGAGTTCACTAGCTCAGAGGGGGAGGATTCCCTCATCCACATCTAGTGTGAGGACAGGGGAATCAAATGAGGGAATTGAGTCAGCTTTTTGTGTGCTGGTTGAACGGAAAAAACTGACTCATCTATGGGCTGATACACAGCAATGTGTTTCTTGAGCTGATGACTGCAGATTTAGTTGAAATCTTCCATCATCCAATCCACCCCCCTCCTCCATTCATAGAAACTTTTTTATAGTGTCTATAAATGAAATATAATTTATGAACAGAGGAGGTGGATTCATTCACTGCTTATCCTCTGTTTATAAATTGCTTTTCATTAAATGAAAAACTAAATTTTTGGACCCCAGGTGCGGGACTCCTGTAAGTACTCAGCAGGAGTAATATCCACCCATTTGCCCCTCCCACAGCTCTTTGACTTCCCACTGTTTGCTCCAGGGGCAACTGACAAGAACATTTTTGTATGGTGGATTACTCATCGCTTTAGAACTATACACTCTATGTTAACAACAAAAGTTATACGCACTTTTGCTCATATCTGCGAAAATTTTCAGATCTCTCCCAACAAACTTTTCCGCTACCTACAAATACGTAATTTTATTGAATGACGTGAAACATTGCCTTCCCAAAGACTCTTACAGGATTTGAGTCACTCTGTAGGTCCGCTGCCACCACTAAGGCCCTCTGTCTGCCATTTATACGTCCCTCCTTGATCACATTTCTGAACCTCTGCCTTTTTACTGTGCCCAGTTGGAATGGGATCTACGGGACTCATTCTCTGGAAGACTGGACAACAATCTGGCAGTCTGCTCTAAAATGTTCCCAGAACATACAGGCTCTGGGGAACTCATACAAAGTCCTCTCTCTATGGTATTTCACTCTGGCACGCACAGCAAAGTATGTTCCCAGCTACGATCCATTTTGCTTTCGAGGATATAGGGCAAAGGGGACAATTAGCCATACATGGTGGTCCTGCCCCATGGCCCATCGCTTATGGATACGGATTTATAACATGATCCACTCTGTCACACAACTCAACCTAAGGAAAAATCCGGAAGAAGCCCTCCTTCATATACCGATCAACAATGTTCCGAGATGCTCTTAAGCAATTGTGTTCTTCTTAACCACTTGCCCTCCAGAGGATTTACCCCCCTTCCTGACCAGGTCATTTTTTGCGATACGACACTGCATTAATTTAACTGACAATTGCGTGGTTATGCAATGCTGCACCCAAATAAATGTATGTCCTTTTTTTCCCACAAATAGAGCTTTCTTTTGAGGTTATTTGATTACCTGTGCGTTTTTTTATTTTTTGCACTATAAACAAGAAAAGACTGACAAAAAACAACATTTTTGACTTTTTGCTTTACAACATATCAAGTAAAAAAAATTTAAAAAAATTGATGTCTTCATAAATTTAGGCCAAAACGTATTCTGCTACATTTCTTTGCTAAAAAAAATCCCAATACATGTAAATGAATTGGTTTACGTGACAGATATAGCATCTACAAATGGCAGTATATATATACTGGAATTTTTTATTTATTTTTTTATGCTAGTGATGGTGGTGATCAGGGACTTATAGAGGGACTGCGACAGGCATTCTGATACTGGGGGGGGGGACTGACTAACTGTCACTGACATCCCAATGACACAAATACAGTGATCAGTGCTAATAAAAAAGCACTGACACTGTACCAATGACACTGGGCAGGAAGGGGGGTTAACATCTGGTGCAATCAAAGGGTTAGCTGTGTGCTGTTTTGCAACATGTGCTGTGTGTGTTTTACTTGGGAAACATGCTGCTGTGTATTTCTCTGCTGTGCAGAGAAATTCACAGCAGCATGTTCTTGCTGGCAGGAAAGAGACCTGTGTTGTTTACACACAGGTCTCTCCCCTGTCAGTGTTACTCCGGGATTGCTTTTTATTCAGGTATTTTCTTGGCTTTCATGTTTAATAGCAATTTTGGATGTTTTGATACTTCAATAAAGCTTTTTTGGTACTAGAAAAACAAAATTTGTGGAACTATTTTCAAGCTCAAGACATTATTTTCACTTATTTGCAGTCACAAGACATTTCAGTATGTCAGCACATCATTTTGACTAAACGCACACTATTGATTACAGAATGTCCAATTCTCTCTCCAGTTAACCACAGAAGCTAGAAAGAAAGCTCCATAATAATATATGTACTCAATAATGGAATACAAAGCACAGTAATTTGTAGCATGAAAGTGCATCCCATACCAATTACGAATTTCTAAGTGACCTAAGGAAGGGGACGCATGTTTAGAAATAATTCCTTGGCCCTATGCAGCACACTTTACATGAGATTTGCCTGTTCCTAAAGTTGGCCATGCACTAGTAGATTTTCAAACTAATGTTCTTATGAAGTTTTGTATGAATATTTGTATGCAAATTCTTAGTACATTTGATGATTTGACTAATTTTATTTGAAAGTACTTATACAAAATTGAATTTGCTTTTAACGTTCAATTTTGATACAAATGGACTTTACAGAAAGAGAACCACATACATATGTTAAAAGTGTGCTTGTATAATAAAAACATGTTCATCTTGTTTCTTAAAATGTTCTCGTCACTGCAGATGAAAATAAGCATAGATTTGACCCCACTTACCACTAGAAAAACAAAAAAAAAAAATTCTTGAAATTAATATTTTCAAACAAAATTCTGCTAGTGCACGGCCAACTTAAGTCTTCCTGATGTTATCTGATATGCATTGTGGTCTGTACATATGAGCAGCTGTACATCTGACGGTTTTCCAAACTTGCTAAAGTCATGCAAAAAACTGCTATCAGTTAATGGATGGATTGCAGTGGTGCTTACATTCTTGGGGCAGAAATCTCAGTCATCTGCACAGTAATGCCTACAGTACAGTATGCCCCCATTAAATCACAAGTACATTTCATGTCCAGTGGGGTTTTTGTACAGGTGCAGCTTGAGCCAGAGGACATATACACAGCAGTAGGCTGCTCTTACCATGAAGAGGTAATTATTCACTTGGATGAGTTAGAGAAGTAGGATAAATCTAGTTTAGATGAGCTTAGGGAGCTGGGGAATGGGGAGGCAAGGGTGATATTTTTGTACAAAAGTGCAGCTGTATTTAAATATGTCAAAATGAAAGATTGTTCTTAATTTGTTGTTATGCTTTTGATCTTGCATGTTACTGTTTATCATTCCTGTTGTTGAATTTTTAGTGGAGAAGTTATCTAAAAGCCACAACTCTAGTGTCTATATGTGTACTAGGAAACCATAATCCACATTCCGGTCATCTTGACCTGCCTGAGTGAGACTGCTAAAAACAGTATCTGATGCAGTAAAGGATGTGGCTGAATTCTGCAAAACATGACAGCTGAACTTTGAAGTAAGCAAGAACCCAAGAAAAATGTTACAGACTTACGTTTTCTGAAAAGGGGAGCCAAGATAAGGCTGTTTATCAGGAATAAAGTTGTTAAAATGATGAACATAACACCCAAAGTATACCAGAAGAAAGTATCTGAAATAAGAAGCATTGCTTAGTATGCTGATTATTATTGTGTTTTGCTTTATCTAATGTTGTTTTTAAATTGTGTTCACTGATTTGTACTCACTTTTCTGAATGTTTTCGCTAATTGTGATATTAGTTGCTTGACTGGGAAAATAGGTGGTTATCAATTGTATTTTCCCCACATGTACAGCAGATGTGGTCAATTCAATGGTAACTGCATCAATTCCTGCTTAAAAAATAAATAATATAGATATATATAATAATTTATATTTTTCATGTACCTAGCCTACTAGTCTTTTCAAGCTTTGAAAAACTGGCAAACCTAAACCATGGGAATCATGCGTGGGTTCCCTGCTTTTTTAGGCCCATAGAGTATGAAGGTGTCCTGCGGTAATCTGAACAAGTTTGTTAAGTTACTATTTTCTTCTTTTGCTGGTGGTGTCTGCAAGTAGCATATGGACACTAGATTTTTTTTCTGTTTTGGTTGAAATGAACCAGCTTAAGGAACAGTCAACTATTGTCTATAGAGATCTTCACCAAGCAGGGGCGGACTGACCACATAGAAACTCAGGCACTGCCTGAGGGCCCGGGGTCAGTAGGGGGCCCCATGAGATGCCCCTGGTACCTTTTCCATAGGCTTTTTTGAGTTTGGGCAAGGATACAGGGGCCCCATGATCCCCTATTGCCCGGGGGCCCCATGAGTTGTCAGTCCGCCCCTGTCACCAAGTATATACAGGAACAAAAAATAAATATTATAAATATTATACTGACATACATGATCTTGGCTCAGAATTTAAAGTTAAATTGGAAATACTATGTTACCCCAAAATTTTTACATATGTAGTTTGATCACGTAAGCCAAACAGTGCCTGTTTCTTTTAGGCCTCCTAAATTTCATGGTGATCCTACCGGTTCTCCTTCTCTATTTTTCATTCCTGCCACGCCAAGCACTGAAGCAGATCCGTGTTGGCGTGGTCAGTTTGCAGATTCTTGAAGATTCTTGCTTCCCGTCTGGAGAGACGGCAAGGTTTGCCTACATGTGGTGTGCTTGTATCTCCTGTGGTTAGTTTGGCAACCACACATCTGCCCAGCCCTGTTTTCTTGACTGCCAGTAACTCCCAGCAGGAATCTCACTGTCCCAACATCAACTAGAATGCAGAATCATCCTTCTTGAGCATAGCATACACAACAGTGGACATACGTTGACACCCCCGATAATAAAAGTGAGGGCATTATGGAAGGCTTTGTAGTTGTGTCACTGCAAAATAAAATTGCAAAAAAAAAATATTTACTGTTTTTAACCTATGATTTATTTAATGTGTGTTCACAGGAAACATTGCTACAGGCCTTTGCATTTAATTATCTTGCAAACTCTTAAGTTTTTATTTAACGCTATATATTTTTCTAAAGCTGGCCACTGCACAGTGGCTAAATGTTTAGCATTTCTGCCTGGCAGCACTAGGGTCATTGGTTTGAATCCAAACCATGGCACCAACTGCCTGGAGTTTGCATGTTCTCCCTGTGCCTGCGTGAGTTTCCTCCAGGTACTCCGGTTTCCTCCCATACTCTAAAGACATGCTGGTAGGTTAATTGGATCCTGTCTAAATTGGCCCTAGTGTGTGTATGTATGTGAGTTAGGGACCTTAGATTGTACACCCCTTGAGGGTTAGGGATTGACGTAAATGTACTATATATATGTAAAGCGCTGCGTAAATTGATGGCGCCATATAAGTACCTGTAATAAATAAAGAACTGCATCACCAAACATGTTAAAACCATGAAAAATTAAATAGCATAAATGCACAAAATGAAAACAAATATTAAGTATATCTCTGCAATACACACACAATTTGCCATGTTTTATTCCTTTAAAACTCCTGAAGGTACAGAAAATACCTGCAGCAATCCAGTGAGCTCCTAACATCCTGTTGGCAACATGACTCAAACTGCCTGTAGCGAAATCAGCTTTACCAAGAATTCTTGTGTTGGGTTTGCAAAACACCACCAACTCCTTATTGCCTTAACACAGGGGAGGTGTTCTGTGGTCCAAGAGGGGCCAATTCAGGAACATAGTATGTAAACCACCTGCGCTACTCAAAATAGAATAGAATAAAGATCAGGAATTTGCTATCACCTGGCTATATACCTGAATACGTTGCAAACATAAAGAGAAAATGGTGTTGCGCTTCCATACACAGTACCTAAATAACTCAAAGGGCATAATTAATGCATAAATATTAAATCTCAAATAAATTCTAATAAAATATACTCATCAAAAAAGGACAATATCATGTGATAATATACAAAAATAAATAAATATATAAAGAAGTAATAAACATCACACCCTGAAGAAAATAGTGAGACAATATATCCCTTAAAAAAAAGGGGGAAAAAAGTGACATATATCACAAATGCATCCCTTAAAAAAAGGGGGGAAGTGACATATATCACAAATAAAGAAAGTGATCAATAAATGGCATAAATTATGCCTGCAAAAGTGCCGTGACAAAAGACTCACAACTGACGTGAATAATATCTAAAGAAATATATGACTGTCAGAATAAAAACCCGTCTCAAGACAAAACTTTCGGACCACACAAAGTCCTTCCACATAAATGTGTTTCAAGATAGTGATGAGTGACCAAAAGGAACAATTTATAACTCAAGTGATCAAATCTCTAATTGGGATTTATTTGTGTTAACACAGACACATAGAAAGTGCCACAAAAATATATCACAATGTGCAGCAAAAAATAAAAAAAACCCTACTAAGCCACGCAATGCCACAAATAATGTGCCACCAAAAAAATATAACAATAATAAACAACAAATGTCCCCTGTGAAATCTTCAAGCAGCTGAATAAAGTGAAAAATTCCACGGTATTAGGTGATACAGGTGAAAAACTGGGATCCGTCACCGGCTGGATTGCCCCCTCACCTTCATGTAGTGACCACAAGCGGCCAATAAGCCTTCAAAATATAAGATACAGCAATTCGGCCAATCAGCAGGTATGAATCTAGTTTAGCAATAGTGGTGGAGTATCCCCCTTGTGGAACAATGGATATGACCAATCCTGATATCCAAGCATCTTTTAGGCAGGATGATAAGATCAGCCAATTCACATATATATTGGAAAGAAGAGAAATCCTCCCATAGTGTAATACTGTATGTTTATTTTGAATGTCACAAACCAGGAAAAGCTAACAATATTGCTTGGAAGGGCAGACTGTGTTGATGGTTCAAAAAGGAAGTTAGGAACTCCCTGGTTTTCTAGCAGGTATTTTTTTAACCTTGCAGTGTATTAAAAAAAATACAACATGGGAAAATGTGCATTCATTGCAGAGATGTACTGCATGTTTTTTCTGTTTTCCCCTGACATACATTTTAATAGTACACTAATCTAAAAAGAGAAGCCAATTGTCAGCCAAATTGTCTGATTAATGGATATCGTAGCCTCCCTGGCGGTATTCCCGAGTGCAGCTCGGGGTAAAGTTGCAGTACCACAAGCGGTAACCCCGAGCTACACTCGGGCTTACCATGCAGTGCTGCTCCGCGATCCCTCGATCACTTACCTTGTCCTGCGCGCTCCCGCGATGTCCCTCCTGCAGTGTCCCCGGCAATGTAATCCGGTGGATGCCGGCATCTGTCTTCTGGGTTCCGTCCCCTGCAAGCGTCGGGACGTACGGGGGACGGAACGGGCGGGAAATTTGAAAATGACAAAAAGTGACATTCACTAAAATCACATAGTAAAACATTACTGTATCAAACCATGTCACATACTGCTTTGTCCTGTGCCCTGCCTGCATTTTTACTGTTCTTTCTGACTGGAAACTGAAAAACGTCCATGGCGTCCAAAATGCGTCCCTTTAGGTCAAAAGTGGTTTTAAACCAGCTAGAGAACAGCGATAGTAAATTAGAACCACTTGCAGAATTGAGTGATGATTCGTGGGGAAATTCGTCATCAGACACTGAAAACAATTTTGCGACTTTGCTCAATGATGTGCGAACTTGGCGCTATATTTCAAATTTCAGTGTTTTTGGTTTGATATATTATTGAATTAAATTTTTTATTATATTATTACTTTTTATGATTATTTATTAAATTATAATTTACGATTTTGCGTTTCAAATTTAACATACCCGGGATGTTTACTAGACTCTTGTTTGGACAGATTTCAGTGAGTTATTCCTAAGAATTACAGGCCTACAATATAAAACGCCAAATTTCCATGCAAAATAATGGTACCGCTTTCAGCACCAAAAATCTGAAATAATCATTCCGCCAGGGAGGTTAAGTCCCGCTTTAAACCAAATGCGACATTGAAATTGTGCTACTTCATTTGAAGTAGTGCGATTTCAAAGCCACGGACTGATGCGATTTCATATGCAGCTTGCCTGAGATATGTGTGACTTCATGCACAGATATCAATGCAAGTTGCACCTGAAATCACCAAAAATAGCGCAAGAACTATTTTTAAAATCTGTGCAACTCCGACAGGGTCAGAATTGCACAGATTTGAACAGTTCCAATGCCAACAATAAGGTGTAATTTGGAACTGTCAAATTGCATAACAAGTCGCACCGGTGTGGACCGGAGCTAAATCTTTATAAACAAAAATACGATAATAGTTAAGAATAAGAAACAAGTAGATCCCACCAAAGAAAATAAATACTCGTCATTTATTTTGTATGTAGACTAGACTGTCATCCCATGTCTAATGACTGTCTAATGCTTGAACACATTTCTAAAATGTCACATTTTGGTTAGAGGTGATTGTAACCGTATTAGTGCATTTGCGACAGAAACAATTGAATACTGTCCATGAGACTTTTTTTTTATACACTCCTTGAAAGCTTGTCCTCAAAATTGTATGTTAGTGCAAATAAAAAAAGTACCACGGACCGTACTCAATTGTTTCTGTTACATTTTGGTTAGCAAATTTGGTTCAGATACATCTTTATAGGTTCAGTTACACCTGTATAAAACTCTGAAATAACACTAGAAAATATTGACTGCACTGACCAGCTGATCTTTTTTTAACTAAAATGTGTCATGTGTGCGAAAGGTACATGCTGAGATTTCTCACTATACCTTCAGTGGTATGTAGAGGTGTTGTTGAGGTTGTTGCAGAGGATAAAAATGCAAGATCTGCAAAATAATAGGTTTTAAATGTAATTAGTCCAGTTAGGGATTTTGAGATTGGATGATACTTTTCTCATACATATTATAAACTTCAATCCTCCCTTATACATTCAAACACAATACTGCTAAAAAAGGACCAGTACTTATGAACTACATAATATTTACACATATGATCCCCACATCCCTGCCTTTCCTGCCTTATACAGTGCCTTGAAAAAGTATTCATAGCCCTTGAAATTTTCCACATTTTGTCATATTACAACCAAAAATGTAAATGTACTACACAGTGGACTAGTGTGCATCATACTTCTCTAAATCACATACTGTTATCATTATTTCTACTGTTATATATTATGCATCTGCTTTATTGTAGGACTTTGTTTCAGGATGATCTACAATTTAATTAAATGTCTTGGTCCCGTCTGCGTTACGGGAGAACATGTAAGAGGTACATGCGCAGACTGCGATCCGTATCTGTATATGACTTGTTATGCCTTTCATATTTCACTTTTTTTGGAAAAAAAAAAAAATGGAAATTATTTTATTGGGATTTTATGTGATAGACCAACACAAAGTGGCACATAATTGTGAAGTGGAAGGAAAATGATATATGTTTTTCAAAATTGTTTAAAAATAAATATCTGAAAAGTGTGGCGTGCATTTGTATTCAGCCCCCCTGAGTCAATACTTTGTAGAACCACTTTTTGCTGCAATTACAGCACTAAGTCTTTTTGGTATGTCTCTACCAGCCAATTTCACCGGGCATGAATACTTTTCCAAGGTACTGTAACATAAAAGATATCAGAATACCTCACATACTTTCCTTAGCCTCAAAAGTCACCACTCAACTAGCCAACTTGATTATACATTTAAGCAGCCCATACTGTATAATACAGTTTTTTTTTTTTTTATCAACCAGCATGTTAGCTAAAAAAAAAACTGACTTGATTCCCCCATCCACACTTTTGAGATGATTGGGAGAATCTTTCCGCTGAGTTATTGTATTCTGACAGCGTGGAAGACTTCCCTCGCAGTCAGTATACACTGATCAGCTCTGACAGCTATAGCCAGCAGTTCTAATCGAGTGAGAAAAATTAAACAGAATGATTGTACAGATGTCTATTGGTAGATCAACTTCTGTATAACCTACTTGCCTATACATAAATTGAAATTGGCTGGTCTCTGCTGAACCGGAAAAATTTTGATCCATATATGGCCAGCTTTAGGTACTTGATCATGTTAAAAAAGGAAGACCTGAAGCCACTATGACTAATTCTTCTCTTCAACAAAAACCACGTGATCAAACACCAATGATCTTTTTGAGTGCACACTGTGGGAGTCCAAAGCAATGGTTTATCAAAACAATATAAGCAGAGTTTTACTACCATATTTGTGTTTTAACCGCTTTATGACCCCGCCCCATGCAGACATACTGTGGCAGGGTGGCTGGCTGTGCTGGATCATGTACCTACTGATGTACTCGCCAAATCACAGAACAGTGCCCAGTGTTCTGTGCTGGATCACGTATCTAGTACATGATCCATATGTCCAGGTAGGGGGCCCACGCACTTGCACCTAGTGCCCCAGCTATGCTGTGATTTTGCACAGCACAAGCCAATCAGCAGTTCTCAGTCAATGATTGATGACCAGGACCTGCTGATCGGCTCGCCGAATCACAGAACAGTGCCCAGTGTTCTGTGCTGCATCACGTATCTAGTACATGATCCATATGTCCAGGTAGGGGACCCACGCACTTGCACCTAGTGCCCCAGCTATGCTGTGATTTGGCACAGCACAAGCCAATCAGCAGTTCTCTGTCAATGATTGATGACCAGGACCTGCTGATCGGTTCGCCGATTCACAGAATAGTGTCCAGTGTTGAAAAACAACACTGGGCACTGTAAACAGAAAAGCGATCCTGTAAAAAAAACAAGATCACTTAGTAAATGCAGCACTTTTCTCAAGAAATGTCAACTGGACTGCTTACTGTAGCCTAATGTTGGCCAAAGACATCACCCGCCAATGTCATCAGTACTTACTGCACCAACAAATGTGTATTAGTTCCAGACACCCTGCTAGGGAGTCATCAGTATGTGTCTCCCAATGATCAGACCTTCTCCATGTGTAGCATACCATTTGTACATTTTAACTGTCGTAAGGCTCATTGTAGTATATTACAAGATGTCACACATAAAGAACTAGACATTTTTGGCTTATGTAAAAATAAATTAAATATATTCTCTATTCCCACCATCCCATGAACACCATCTAAATTTCAGACACACAGTGGACGTTTCTGCATTGAAAAAACGTGAGGTCAGTAACTTTTATATTCTACATTTTCAGGAATAAATACACATCCACCATTAAATAGATCTCATGAGTATATTTATTTTCCTTTTTGTTGTATGTTTTTTTCTTTATGTAAACCTGTCAAGAGTGAAGTATAGGGACATAAAATGTTAATTATACTATGACTGAAAATGAAAAAAAATAAAACGATGTACTATTCTTTTATGTGATGCTATTATTCTGACCCACTGGCTTTGAGTTGAGTTGAGCTTAGTTGGTTTGGGATTGATTTACTAAGGGTAAATAGACTGTTCACTTTGCAAATGAAGTTGCACTTTGCAAGGGAACTTTCCCCAGAGCTTATTGAATAGAGTACATTTCTGCTGACTTCCATCATCCAATCATGTTCAAGTAAAAATGTTGTATTTTATTTTCCTTGTGTGTGATTAGGTTTTCTTTACAAAGTGAAATGTCACCACATTCTTTAAGTTCTGGGCAAAATTCCTTGCAAAATTCAACTTCCCTTGGAAACTGAAAAGCCTATTTTCCTTTAGTAAATCAACCCCTTTGGGTCACTAGGTTCATGCAAGCGGAAGTGTGAGAAAAACCCTTATTTGCACAGTCGTTCAGCATGACAATCGAATTCCATTTACAGTACGTGGTATAAAAATGACAGCCTTCATCTTTTTCTCATGATAGTTTTTCATCATTACATATTTAATGCTAAGTAAACTCTTACCAGATATATTGATCATTATTGATTGGCTTTCTAATGAATCAATACATCTATCCATTATCTCTATAGTATAAATGCAAATGTATTTGCCAGCAATCTCAATGCCAGACTTCTTTATTCTATACGTTGCATCAATATGTGCTAGTTTGTTGGATCCTCCAGGTTCCACTTTGTAGAACAATGTTTTCTTTATTGTGACAACATTGGGTAGAGAGCATTTCATGTTGAACGAATCTTCTATTTTGTACATGGAAAGTGAAGGTGTCAGAATAATGTTTGGAGCTGATGGCTTTTCTACAAGAGAAAGGATATAAATATTATTACATCATGGGAAAACACTAGTATCTAGATACAGGATGAAAACATGAAAACTGTTTAGTAAACATACTGTATGCCTAAGACATTTCCTGCCATGATGGGTATATGATAATACACATGAAATCTATGTGGATTACCTGTTTTTTGCTCAATACATGGGAAACCTGTGCAAGATCAGAAGAGCATTTATAATACATTGATTATAGTAGTGCATTACAAGAGAAGTATGGACTTGTAAAAAAAACATTTATACTCAGCTAGGTGGATGCAGCATTGTATCAATGCTGCATCTGTTCACCGGCGGCTGTGCAGTGAGAACTGAGTGATCAAACACTGCTGATCGCTCAGTTCTCCCCTTCACTCTGAGCAGAGAGCTATGACTGTCAGACTCCAGCTCTCTTCTCTGCCCTCTAGTGCACACTGGAGTGCTGGACTGTGGAAGCTAGCTCAAGCTCTCGGCGGATCACTGAGATGCTGAGTAAGGTGCCTGTCCAGGCTTCTGGGTGGATCCCGATCATGGATATAAAGGCATGAGAAGTTGCCATCATCCTATTTCCAAATGACAGTTCCAGCGTATTTGCAGGAATTGTTCTAGAGAGGAAGATTTTTTGGCCCAAGCCAAAGTTTTGAAGAAGAGGTTCACCCAGAAGGGATATCAGCTGGAGGGTTTAGAACAGGATCTTCATGCTGTATCAAATATGGAATGAAACCACATATTGAGTCCTAAATTTAGAACTGAAGAAGAAACTAACAAACACCAGAGGTCATTTCTGACCACCTTTTCCACTCAGCACCATTGGATCAATAGAATATTCCGCGACCCCTTAATACAGTTCCTCACTGTTGTGGTGACCCCCAACCATAAAATTATTTTCGTTGCATACTTCAAACTGTCAATTTTGCAGTGGGAGGAATAGTGTCCTCATCATTGTGTCAGTGGAGGAAATAGTGCCCCATCATTGTATCATGCGGGAGGAATAGTGCCACATCATTGGTGTCAGTGGGAGGAAATAGTGTCCCATCATTGATATCAGTGGGAGGAATAGTGCCCATCATCACTGATGTCAATGGGAGAATAGTGCCCCATCATTGGTATCAGTGGTAGGAATAGTGCACCCCAACATGTCATTGGTGTTCAGTGGTAGGAATAGTGCCCCATCATTTGGTTGTCAGTGGTAAGAAATAGTGCCCCATCATGTGGTCAGTGGGTAGGAATAGTGCCCCATCATTGGGTTGTCAGTGGAGGAATAGTGCCCCACTCGTTGTGAGCAGTGGGGGAGGAATACGTTGCCCCATCGTTGTGTCCAAATGGAGGACTAGTGCCCCCATCAAGGTGTCAGTGGGGAATAGTGCCCCATCGTGGTGTCAGTGGGGGGAATAGTGCCCCAATCATGGGATGTCAGTGGGGGGAATAGTGCCCCATCATTGGTGTCAGTGCGGGGGGAATAGTGCCCCATCACTGGATGTCGAGTGGGAGGAATAGTGGCCCCTCACTGGATGTCAGAGGGAGAATAAGTGCCCATCACTGGTGTCAAGGGGAGGAATAGTTGCCCCAATCACCTGTGTCAGTCGGGGTGGAATAGTGTCCCATCACTGTGTCAGTGGAGGAATATAGTGCCCCATCACTGGTGTTCAGTGGAGAATGAGTGCCCCATTCACTGGTGGTCAGTGGGAGGAATAGTGCCCCATCACTGGGTCAGTGGAGGAATACTTGCCCCATCACTGGTGTCAGTGGAAGACTAGTGCCCCATCAATGGTAGTTCAGTGGGGGGAATAACGGGCTCCCATTATTGGTGTCCCCATTGGGAGGAATAGTGCCACCATCATTGGCTTGTCAGTGGGAAGGAATAGTGGCCCCCATATCATTGGTATCAGTGGGGAGGAATAGTGCCGCCCCAATCATTGGTGTCAAGTGGGAAGGAATAAGTGCCCCCATCGTTTGGCATCAGTGGGAGCAATAGTGCCAAACAATGGTGTCAGTGGAGGAAGAGAGTGCCCCATCGTTGATATATCAGAGGGAAGTATAGTGCCCCCATCGTTGGTGTTCAGTGGTAGGACTAGTGCCACCATCGTTTGGTGTCATGCTGGAGGAATATGTCCCCATCGTTGGTGTCAGTGGAGGAATAGTGCCATCACCATCGTTGGGGTGTCAGTGGGTGGAATAGTGCCCCATCGTTAGGTGTCAGTGGGAGACATAGTGCCACCCAGATCGTATGGTGTCAGTGGGAGAATAGTGCCCCATCGTTGGTGTCAGTTGGGAGGAATAGTTGGCCACCATACGTTGGTGTCAGTAGGAGGAGTAATAGTCCCGCCATCCGGTTGGTGGTCAGTGGGGGGAGGAATAGTGCCCCATCGTTGGTGTCAGTGGGGGAGAATAGTGCCACCATCGGATTGGTGTCCAATGGGAGGAATAGTGCCCCCATCGATTGTGTCAGTGGGGAAATAGTGGCCCCAATCGATGTGTCAGTGGGGGAATAGTGCCCCAGCAATGGGTGTCCATTGGCGCGAATAGTGCCCCATCATTGGTGTCAGTGGAGGACTAGTGCCCCATCACTGTGTCAGTGGGAGGGATATGGTCCCATCACTGGTTGTCCACTGGGAAGGAAAAGTGCCCCATCAATTGGTGTCAGTGGGAGGCATAGAGGCCCCATCACCTGGTGGTCCAGTGGGAGGAATAGTCCCCATCATTGGTGACAGTGGAGGTAATACGGCCCCATTAATTGTGTCAGTTGGGAGGAATAGTGCCCCATCATTGGTGTCAGTGGGAAGGAACTAGTGCCCCATCGTTGTGTGTCAGTTGGGGAAGGAATAGTGCCCCATCGTTGGTGTCAGTGGAGGAATAGTGACACCATCGTTGGTGTCATGTGGGGAGAATAGTGGCCCCATCATTGGTTGAAATATAGTGACACCAATTGATTTGGGCACTATTCCTCCCAATGACACCCAATGATACTTACCTTGCTGACCCCTGCTCCAGCCTGGGCTCGCATCGCTATCCCTCCCTCTCCCAAGGTACAAACACTTAACCGGTCAGATTGGCGTCCCTTCTCTCGGCCCGCTTTCCTCCCTCTACACACGCTCGAGCGCTTTCGCGTGCCGCTCACCGCCTCCTCCTTTCCAGCGCCAACCATCCACTCCGGTGATTGGCCGCCTGTGTGCCTCTCTTGAGCTGCGGCGATGTCACGGAGGCCCAATCACAGACGAGGAAGGATTGATCCCGGGGGTGTGTCCAGATGACAGGGACTGCATGTTCCATCCCGCCCACCAACGCTGCAGACGGATCAAGGAGCGGATTCCTCGGTTCCTAAGGCCATCGGAAAATATGTGTTTTCCCGATGGTCTTAGGCGACCCCTGGGGAAAGTGACCGTTTCGAATACCCCCCCAAAGGGTCCCGCGAACACGCCAGGTTGAAGAACCGCTGGTCTAGACAATAAATTCCATAACAGGATTTTATAATATGTTGAAAGAAACGGTGTTATATATCTTCTTCAGTGCTCGTGTGGGTCTTCAATATGTGGGGAGGACCACATGAGGCACTGAATGTTCACAAAGGCGAGGCCATCTTTGGGCCAATATGATCAAGAGGAATTTTGGAGTACATAGAGGTATATTTACTATAGCTGGTTCTACTCCAGAATCTGGAGCAGCTGTACAAATTCAATTAAGCGTTGGCTAAAAAAAAACTCTGAAAAACTGATTGTTGCTCTAAACAGAAGTGCACCTGAATTTTTGCGCCTCTCCACTCACCACAACTCAGCTTTAAGTAATATAGAACCCCAGAGTCTCCTCTAAACACTTCTCTCATCGATAGTCACAACAAAGATCCTTCATCCCTTGCCGGTGACAATGGCATTGGAAAAATAACTCACACACACCCATTAGCGAAGGCAGTTAATCTTAAAAGACAAATTTTTTCCTGCTGGAGAACCCCAATGGATTTTGTGCATTTAAACAACATTTAATTCATAGGGGCCCTTGAATGTGGAGCGGGACATTAATTCCATATATTAATAACAGCTGATATGCATTTTTCCTGTCTTTTTTATAAAAAAAAAAAAATGTATCATGTTTTTAATTTATTTTGTATTTGAATATATAGTTTTTATGGTTAATATAATAAATAATTTGAAGTAACCAAAAGTATTTTAACGGCGCGTAATAAAGACACACGTTTTTTTACTTAAAAACATACCACCAACAAGTGGGGTCCGTCTTAATACGCCGGGTATAGAACCGGCTGGAATGTGCGGTAATATACTGTATGGTAGCTTCAGCTACATACAGTGGTACCACCGCTAGAGCCCAATCACGGCTAGCGATTGTAATTCTATTAATGAATACAGAGCCTGCTCGGATAGGCTGAAGTTGTGATCACCTAGTCATCCAGCCCGCCATGTTCTGACGCAGCCTATCCGAGCAAGCTCTGTATATCATTAATAGAAATACATCACTTGACACAAGCCGTGATTGGCTCATATGACGGTCCTCCACTACACATTCCTCCTCACATGCCACGGCGATGCGATGGTGTCCCTTGGACACAGCGATCACCGATCACGGAAAGAGCCGAAGATGTCGCTCGGTCATGTGATCACTGTGTCCAATCACAGCTGATCACATGTAAACATGGAAATGGCCGGTTATCGGCATTTCTCTCCTCTAGAGCTGTCACGCTGAGAGGAGAGCTTGGTAAATACGGCTTTCTTCCGCGAGGGGACATGTACACTGATCATGCAGGGCACAGATGCTCATGTGCCCTGATTGATGAGTGTAGCCCCATGCAGTGCACTGTCAGTGTGTCCATCAGTGCCACATCAATGCCCACATATCAGTGCCTACCTATTTGCACATCAATGCCACATATCAGTGCACACAATGCCACATATCAGTGCCCACATCTTGAGCTGAAATTTCATGTCACCTATCAGTGCCAGTCAGAGCCACCTATCGAATGCCAATCAGTGCCACCTATCAGTGCTGCCAATCAGTGCCACCTATTATGCCAATCAGTGTTTTCCACCTTCAGTGTGCCAAAGTCAGTGCCAGCCTATCAGTGCCATGTATCATGCTGCCTTTCAGTGCCCATCAGTGATGCCTGTCAATGCCCATCAGTGCCACCCTTCCAGTGCCTCCTCATCAGTCCCCATCAGTGCCACCTATTTCATATGGGTACAGTGTTGTATAAGACCCACGCAATTGTCATTCAAAGTGTGACAGCGCTGAAAGCTGAAAATTGGCCTGGGGGGGGGAAGTGGGTATAAGTGACCCCTGTAGGCTAGAGGGTTAAATGGTGTTGCCTCAGAAGGGGGGGTAGTCTTATACGACGAGTTTAGCCCAAAACCTATGTTTTAACTGGAAAATTAGGGGTCGTCTTATACACCCAGTCGCCTTATACGCCGGAAAATTCGGTAGTTAGTTTTTATTTTTATTTTGGAATAATGGACATGCAACAATTTGATGTTTGGATAGCAGTTCATCTATGTGGCCACTAGATGGGGTGGTGGTAAAACTATTCTGTCAAGTGTGGAGTTTTATCATCCACACCAGATGGTGCTATTTAAATCTGTTTATTTATAGCCGATTGTTTTCTGTTTTTATTTTTAATAAGATTAAATATATTTTTTGGTTGTTTTTGGTGGCGCCTTTGTATTTTATTAATATCAAGGGTTTTTTTTATCTTTGAGAGCCCCTTGGCTTACATAAATGTGCTGTGTTCCTTTTCCTGTTTTGTATTCACTATAAATACGCTGTAACTGATGTCTCAGACTAGCCTCCTTTCCCAGAAGAGGCATATTACAAGGAAAACACATTGGGTAGAGCTGGGTCTGTGACATCACATACTAACGTGCTGGCATGTCTTGCAGCCATGCTTTTGTGAATGTGTACGCCGCTCATTACTTCTCATATACTGCAAGTGCAATAACTATTTCAATAAAAGGGTTTTCAGTAATACTTCACTATGAGGCTTTTCCTTCCTGGTTTTAAATGTTCCTTGGTCTGATTTCTTTGGCGGTTGGAGTCTGAGAGCCTCTTGAGGGATTCCTGTGTGGGAAACCTTTGCTGCAGTATATTGATAGGGCCAAAATGATGCCGCTCCAGGTCAGTGACCGGCTTTCACAATTTGCGAACTGGAACCCAGGGTGTTACACATCTCGTCTGTGAGATTCAGTAACATGCACAAATCCGGAATATTGCTGCACTCCTTGGTTTTATGTATTGAAGCAGTAAATGACATCACAGGCATAACAGGAACATCAAAAAGGTGACGTGTTTCTCGCTATATTCAGTGCTGAATTTAGCACAAAACGCATCACCTTTTTGATGTTCCTGTCATACCTGTGGTGTAATTTTGATACTTCAATACATATACCAAGGAGTGCAGCAATATTCCAAATTTGTGCATGATACTGACGGGGCCACAGACTCATCTGGAGTTTGAATGGTGGGAGCATTGGTTCCTTTTTATTGAAAAAGCGAGTGCAATCTCTGTTACTATGAGATCATGTCCATCTGGTAAGAGGTTTAGATGCGGGCATTTGGCACATTGGAGCACTTAAATGGTTTTAATCATCACTGTGCACTATAAAGCACTTGGAGATAATATGGACATGGACTACGTATGGACTCTTTTTTCTTTACTTATGATAATTGCATGTTTGATATGATTATTGATTTATGTTCATATTTCACAGTTACATATTTGAATTTAGATATTCATTCATATGATCTAATGATTTAAAGAGGCATGCACAGCTCTTTTTTACATAATCAGCTAATATATATTTAAATGGTAACTTAAAGCTGAACACTAGTAAAAATTAAAAATCGACCCTTGCAGTGGTGCTTCACCTCATTGCAAGAGTAATGCTCATTTTTGCATAGGTGCAACAAACAAGCATTTATTTTTACTGTATCTCCTTGTTGCTTCAGGCTTTCTCTCAGCCGCACTACCAGTCCTCCAAAGCCCCTTCTCTTTGCCACTCCATCGGTCACAGACATGCCAAAGTTATCAAATACAATGCAGGACCAACAATCATGCATTTTGAAGACATTGAGGGCATGCCACCACGCAGTATGTCAGAGAAAGGAGAAGAGTGCTGGCTGCTGGGGGAATGAGGGCTAAGTAAGTATAGTTCCTTTTTATCCCCAGCCGCTAAACACCGCCTCGGAGACTATCCTAACTGACCACAGACCCCTACCAACATTACCTCCCCGGTCAGTCTAAACTGAACCAGACCATTCGGAGGACTTCATACCTGAGATGAGTCCCACCAGTTACCAACATATACCACATTTTTAGACCCCCATCAAGGACTCCAACTGCACCCCACCTCCTACAAACCAAAGCAACCCAATTACCAGGGCGGGAGGGAGGGACGTTCCACCGATGATTTCCAGGTTGCAAGTTACGCCCCTCACTCTACCCCCACCAATTGTTCTCTCGTCAGCTCCTCTAATCACCCCGTCTACTCCACCAATCCAGTAAGTGTGCTCAGATGATTTCATAACTCAACCACATCTTAATCTTAACCCTATACTGTCAGGTTTTACTTCCACCCTGTCATCTATGCGCTGCGCTTATTCTCTTCTTTCAAAGCTCCAGGCATGTATGGAGAGGAGCAGATACAAAACCGGTCACTCTGCACAAGTAAATAGAGCAGCAATTCTGCAACAAGTTGTTTACATTTAAATCAGAATATTTTTTGCAGCAAATTACAGCAATCTTTAAGGCCCCTTATATGCTGATGGTCCGATCGGACCATCCATAGACCTCTATGGACCAATGGTCTCAGCCGACAAGTGTCCCCTGACACCCGCTGGCATCTGATTTGATCCTGTATGTCAAGAACAGACGGATGGGGATCCGTTCTCCATCCGCCTGGAGGACTGGATCAAATGACAGTCAGGTGGAAACGGACAAGCGGGTCTGTTTCCATTTGACCGCTCCATAGGAAAAAATAAACTGTGTCTGCTCTGCAGCAGTAGAGCGGACACAGACTTGTCATCCGCTTGTTCAGCGTGGATCAGCGGAGAGATCCCCCGCTGAGCAAACTGATCTGCTGACGGGTCTGCCCTGTCTGAAAGGGGCCTTAAAGTGTTACTAAACCCACAACAGTAAAATCAGTCTGTATATGCAGGAAAGCATGCTTGTTATACTCAATGTGGAACATAAGAGGTTAATCCTCTGCATTGTGTAAAAATGCTGTTTGATCCTCCCCTTCTTCCAGTGGCCCCCTCCTATCTCCTAATAAGACATTTCCTGTGAAGACATTGCACATTGTGTGTATTGCTAGGGAGGGTTTTTTTGTTTCTTGGCAGAATGCATGTGATCAGCACAGGGCCAATCAGCACTGCCCAGACAGAGGTCAGGGGTTCTGCATCCTCCTAGAGAAAAATCCTCCTACAAGCTATAACCAGTGCTCTGCTGGACACAAGACTGCTCTAATTGCTGATGAGAAAAAGTATTTAGCAGTTTATATTTACTGAAATATTTGCATTTCGATGTTGTGTTTACTGTGGGAGACCAGATATAGTGAATGCAGGGTCCTGGGTTTAGTACCACTTTAAAACCACATAGACTGAGCCACCCACAGTAGAACACAGTTCAGCTCGAGCCGTGAAGCATGCAACCATAAATTCCAGTTAAAACATCTAGGTCAGGATGTGCACAGCCTGTTAATGAGCCAGAGCATAAATGGCTTAATACAGCCTGTCGTAAATAGTTTGGAGGAATACACATCTGGTTAGTGAGCTATACAAACATGTTAATGAGCTGCCTAGAATCCAGAATTCAGGCCATTCTGGCAATTACTTTTTAGTTCGAAACCTGTTTATCTTACTACTGATGTCTGCTTTGTAATATCTATTTCTGTAAATATTATCTTGCACCATTTTTTCTTTTCATTCATTAAAGTGATATTTAAAAAAATAATAATTTTCACAGACTCTGTAAATGCTGTAACCAGAAATGAAAGAATCCTTGCCTCAGTAAGGGGTACCCTGTTTAAAACTCAGTACAGAGTGCAGAGTTGTTACAGCAGATGCTATGATCAGTGTGTGTTTTCTTTTAAAACATGTGGTGGCAGCTACTGTGTATGTGTGAGGGGTAACTGCGGAATTACCCAACCACAGTGATGATCACCCTCAGTCTGGTGCTTAGTCCTGTAAGCTGGAAAATCTTTGCACAGGGTAAGGCTGACAGTACAATTGTTGCACAGCCCAGTTTATATTTCCTGCACAATTTAATCTGTTGATGCCTGTGTAACACATATGTGGCAAAAGGGTTTGCTCTAACTCCCACACACTGCACATATGTGTCACTGGGGGGCTGACGTTTCTGTGTTGAGAGCGTGCTTACAGCTCTTGGCCCCCACTAGTGATTGGTAGCCAGCTCCCAGTCATGTGACCACTTTTTTTTTTTTTTTTTTTTAAGTCCGCAAACGTGGAACTGTAACGAAAAACCCGTAAGTGTCCGCAAAAAAGTGCAAGTGCAGAAACACACACACGAAAAACGTGCACTTAGGGGTGTGTTTGTCCTACCCCCGAAAGGGTTGGACCGTTCACCCGATCCCCCGGGGCACGAAGCTCCTGACAGGGACAAGGTTCCCATTTGGTCCTCCTGGCCAAAAGGCCTGGTGGACCACCGTTCCTTATGCCCAGCCGAAGCCGGACATCCAGTACTAGGCAAGGGGGTTCTCCCGAAGAGAAAACCCCCTAGGGATCAGGGGAGGAAGGAACCGTATGGCCACACATCCTCCCCCTAGACTTCAGGTAAGGCCCGAGGACCCACACCCTCCATCCGTGAAAAAACACACACATAAGAAAGCAAAAAAGTGACAAAACGTGGGAGTGGTTTAAATAAATAGACCACTGTGACAGCTAATCCCTGTGGTCACATGATCGACAATTCTTTTCAGCACTCTGGACCCTATAAAGGGACCCTATTAAAGGAACTATGGGGTTAAGTTATTGTGAGCATAGATTCAAACAATAATAAGGAGTCTTTGGTGACAAGAGTCCTAAGCAGTGATCGATTTGTGTATGGCCATCCTTAGTCAACATGTGTCAGCCTGTATCAGGGGTCTCCAAACTTTCTAAACAAATGGCCA